CTCTCTCTCTCTCTCTCTCTCTCTCTCTCTCTCTCTCTCTCTCTCTCTCTCTCTCTCTCTCTACCCCTCTCTTGCCGCGGCGGTTGGGCATTCGCGTCATGGTGGACCAGGCTTCTGTCGAGAGGATACAGGCGTGCGCCAGGATCCTGAGCGAGTGGTACCAGTACGAGGGGCATATCTTATCTGGTGTCGTCAACGCCGCCATCTCGCCGAACGGTAGGTGCTCGCCCGCCTATGGAGGACCCGTTGATTGCGTTCGGACCACCCTCTCGGTTGTTGCGATGATGACAAATGCCGACGATGGTGATGCGTCGTGTTTTGTGGCAGCAGCGACAGCCGCAGGTGCACCCCGAAACGCTCTGTCTCTTTGTGTGTCTTTCATGCTAGCATCGACCGCGCTAACCGGCTGACCCATGAAATGACTTCAGTCTCAGTGCGGTTGAAAACACAAAATGCTTCTAAAGGCCGCAATCTGGGACCCTGTGACCGAGCGTCATGGGGGAGCCTACGCTATTCTCTGGATTAAAGACAGACACCGTAGCAATAACAGAAGAAAAACTGCAAGTGTTTTTCTACGATGGCCGCGTGTGTGTTTGTGTTGTTTTGTTCCTTTTCGTCTCCCTATGTACGTTCGTTGCTTTGTTTTTGACGGCCTCCTGAGTATTTGTTCTCGTGTTGTTGCCACCCAAACGAAGAAATTATTTTCCCATCTGCTTTATGTAAGCGTTTGTAACGCCTTCATGGCAAGGACGTCCTGTCCGACCATGCTACCTTCGACTCTTGCCGTTTTGTGTCTGGTGAACGAGAAGCTTCTGTCGTGGCAAATGGGGATACACGTCCAGAGTTGACAAGAGATGCGATGGGCCCGTCTTTCGCTTTCTCGCGGGCCGCAGCGAGTACCCACAGAGAGCAGGAGGCAGGCACACGCAGGCGGCCGTCTATATCCAATCGTTGCATACGCGAACATATCGCTGGAGTTGTGTTTTGTTCTTGTCCTCTTTGCGTTTGTGTGGCATGAGAAAAGACCCACATCCCCCCAATAACTCTCCCCGATCTTCTCCATCTCCTCCCTCGTGCCGCCGCCAACTGTCGTTGTCCTCGCCGATCATACCGTAGGTGACGTAAGAATTCACACCCCCTGCACCGATTTTCAAAGCTCAGTTATTCATATGTCCACGGCGAAGAGGATGTATGAAAATGAAACCATACGTTTTTTTATGAATGCCCTCGGCGCGGCAGTTCCAACTCCGGCAGTTTCGTCATGGCCGCTCTTTCTGCTGTCGAGTAATCGAGCTGTAATAGTCGAACTTTTTTTTCGCGAGAAAATCAACATCATGAGGAAATAGAACAGGGAGAGAGTACGCATACCCTATCCCTAACCCTAACCATAACCCAACTCCCCGGATTGCATGCCTTATTCAACATGTTAATTTGAACGAAAAAACCCTCCCGGCGCTTTTATCCGTACGCTGGCCCGCTCTCGCTCACACGTTTGTCGCCGCTTGGTCAATATTTTTTTTTGCGCGCAGGAACCGTCGCCTTCAGCGTTAACGAACCCGTCGTGTCGGGAGTTGAGCCGATTCAACTCTCGTACTACAAGGTACGACTGGGAGGCGGGGGGTGGGGGTTGCACCGCCTAGCTGTAGGCTGTCTGGCGGCGTGTCAGTGTGTCGATCGTCCGCCGCCCGAGGTGTTGATCAGACTGCGAGGTATGTGTAGCGTGGTTAGAGAGCAGCGGTGTATTGTTCCGAATTGAACTCTTGTCTTCGTAAAATACTCACTCCTACTTTTTTATGTTTTTGGGTGTACACAGCTGTACAGCTGTCGTACCGCCGTGTGGGTCTGTCTCCCGTTGTTTCGCGGCGTGAGGTGGATGGGACAAGCGGGCATTATCTGCCTTACGTATTCTCTCAAAAAATATAGTATATTTTATCTATCTACAATCTCTGCTGTCTTGCCCTGTCTCTCCCCGCTGTCCCTCTTTCTCCCCCCGTATAGCCTGGTCCGGTGAGAACCCGGCGTACTCCGTCCCGACTTTGTAGGGATGCGAGGTCAATGGTCTTACAACTGCGGCATGCACGACTATGAGTACCCCCCCACACACAATCTCCCCTTCCCTCTCCCTCTGTATGCATTCGCTCCCGATGACCCTCGTTTCACGCAAACACACACTTTTTTTTTGCCGAACGGTGACTGCAGACGGCCGACATCCGAGACCCCAACAGCGGGCTGGTCCAAGTGGAGAAGGGCAAGACGAAAGCTAGCACTATCGCCAAGGGGCTCGGCCTAAAGGTATGCTACCCCCCCCCCCTCGTCCGGTGAAGGTATCGATAGGGTACAGGGAAGAGATTTGTTTTTGGCCACTTTTGGCAAAGTAGGAAGGCACGATTGATCGCTCCTGCGGGAACAGTGCTCCGTCCTCTCGAGGGCGCGTGGTCAACGGTCCAACCGCTGCGGTACATTGTCTTGACACCCGTATAGTTTAGACTGACCAGCTACAATACTCACCTGTCTTTTGGTTGTTGCATGCGCCTCGTGTTCGTGCGGCATCACATTTGTGTGTGTTTTGGTGTTCTGCCTGTCTGCTTTGCCAGGGCGGCGAGCACTTCAAGCTGGACGCTCAGAGGTGGAGAGGCGTTCTCGGGTCGGGGCTCTTCAGCGGGGTACAGCTGTCAGGTGCGCGCCCCCCCCCTCCCCCCCCTCCCCCCGGCGTGTCGCGGTATCACAGCGATCGATGCTGACGCTGCATGCCAGTACTGAGTTTGTGTACCACAAGTGCATGTGCTGGCCTTTTTTTTTTATGTCCTCCTGGGCCGATTTGCGAAGCTCGTTATCTCTAAGCAGGAAAAAACAGCGACAGTGCCGAAAATGGCGTTAGGCGTTGGATTCGTCTCGTCGAGAGCTTTCCGAAAACGTATACTTCAATTTCGGCATCGTCTTCGTCGTGGAGTTGTCTTGCTTTGAACACCGGTCCAGGGGGTGTGATATCTTACGTCACCTACGGCACTGCACCTTTCGTTTGCGCTATAGCCAAGGTGCATGTGGTGTTGTTGTTTGTACGGTTGTCGCGGTTGTTTTTGCCCGCCTGATAGACGGCTCTCCTGTTGGGCCCTTCGTGCAGTTCATGTGCTGCCTGTTGCGGGACGAGGGGATCGAGAAATACGATGCTTCGCGCTGCTGCTTTTGGACACACGAAACGTTCTTGACGTTCAGTTGTAGCTGCTGCTGCTGCTGCTGCTGCTGCTGCTGCTGCTCTTTTTTTCTTGTTGTTCTCTTTATTCTTGTTGTTCTCTTTATTCTTGTTGTTCTCTTTATTCTTGTTGTTCTCTTTATTCTTGTTGTTCTCTTTATTCTTGTTGTTGTTGTTGTTGTGGCCGACTCGATTGCTGCACGACCAATGGGCTGCCAAGGTCGAAAATTAAGGGTGTCATTTGGAAATATTTTATCGAAACAGGTTGTCTGGCACGCATGGATCGGTTGTCGCACCCTCTTGACTGCTGCCAGAGAAAAGGAGTGTGGCCTAGCGAGTGCACAATGGCGTACTATCTTGCCGTATGCGTATGTTTTGTCCAAGCATTGTTCGTGCCTCCCCCTTCACCTTGTTGTTCATTGCGCGTTTTTGTTCCGAAATACTTCGCTGTGCGTTTTATTCAAGATTAATTCGTACCTCTGTCAGATTGTTGTTCTTTGCGCGTTTTTGTTACGAAATCTTGATTTTTCTGTATCTTTTGTTGGGTATTTGTTCGTCTGAACAACCTTATTGTTATTTCGCGTGTATTGTTCCGCAAAGGCGCCCATCAGAACGCGGAGGACAAAGGCATGACCCTGGACATCAACGTGGAAGAGAGGAGTTCAGTCGTCTTCGCGCCCGGGGTGACCAAGACTCTGTTCGACAGCAACTGGGCGGGCGAGGTGTGGATGGCAAGGATTTTTGTTGATATGTGGTGTACCTCCCTCTCTGTCCTTCTGTCTCTGTGTCTTCTTCTCTCTATATATATATCTTCTTTCTCTCCCTCTTTCTCTCTCTCTGTCTGTCTGTCTCTCTCGCTCCCTCTCTCTCTCTCTGTCTCTCTCCCTCTCTTACACGCACACGCATTGGTCAGCCGGATTGTCCCGGTCGATAAAATGCAATTCCCAAACACACAAGTCGGACGAGAATCCCGCCGCATTGTGTCTTGGTCTTGTTGTTCGGGTTTCATCCGGAACAACCAAACCATGTCGCAGAACCGCGCCCAACATCCAAGAGCCGCAAATCGGCGGCCACGACGCCGAGCGGACTCCTCTGCTGCTGACATTGCTGCATCTCTTGCCAGAAAGAGCACAATGTCGTTCCGGTAGAGACGAACGGACTCGCCAGCTCCCCCCCGCCCCGCTTGTACTTACGCTGAAGCGGTGTGTAGTTGATCTTAGGGCCGTTTTGTACACAGCTATTTTGCTTCCAAATTTCCAAGGATCCAATTTCCTGCTTTGCAGATATACAAAGTTGTACTCGTTCCAAAAATTTCGGTGCCGGTCTTTTCCAATTTTTTCTTGATTTCCAAAAATATTTCCTAGGCCGCAAATCGAGGTTCTATGGTCTACAGATTTGGAAATTTGGAAATGTGAAATTTGGAAGGAAAATAGCTGCTGTATAGAACGGCCCTTACGAACGTCGTACTTGATGGCTTGCCTCCCCTCCGCAGCGTGGTGCAAAACTAACGCCGCTCCGCACGCGGGCTTGGCAAGGGAACATATATGCTTGCCATACGTGACACGAGGTATCACTCCCCCTGGACCGATTGTCAAAGCTCGACTGCTCCGCAGCAGAGGAGAGTGGTCGTGCCGAAATCATGGTGGCATTGGAACCATCTCATCGACATCTTTCCAAAAACGTAGCAACTGCTGAGTTTTGTGTCCTCTTCGTGGTGGAGTAACTGAGCCTCAATAATCGGTCCAGAGGGAGCGGTATCTCACGTACACATCCTCTGGTACAGCCTCGAAATTCGGTCTCTGACGTCTTTATCCGGCAGTGTTGCCCCTGTCGCTCGAACATGTGAACGCCTTCCTGTTTCAAGGACCAACAAGAATAGCTCACGACTGGCCCCGTCAACCCGAGTTTAGGTTGTATTTGTTGCCTTCGAGAGCACACGTGCGGAACGAAGCCTCTTGTTAGACCGCGCTAGCCGGCTGTCATAAAGAAAACCGCCTGTGTGTGATGTTGGTGAGTCAACGATCGTGACAACAACCGGCAGACCGTTTCCACGCCACTAGCAACAAACCCTTTTCCCATGATCATAGGAGTGCGTGTTCTTTCTGTTTTCTTTTGCCATGAAGCATAACCCCTTTCCACTCTCCATTTCATCAGAGTGCTCACTCTTTCTTTTTTCTGTTTGCATGAAACATAACACCCCCTTCACACTCCTCCACTTCACAAAAGTGCATGCTCTTTATTTTGCATGAACCGCAAATAAAATATAAAAACAGATATCCTTCGAGGAGACGAACGTGCTTGGTCGAAACGGCGTGATGGGGTTGAAACTCCACCGCTCCATGTCGTCGCCCTTCACTAGCTTCAGGTGAAACAATAGCAGCTTCCGGTACACCAATCCCGTGGCTCTCTAATGCCTTGTAGACCCCCGCTGGGTTCGCATGCTGTGTACAGATTTGTAAAACATTTCGTTGAGGTTCGCTGTGCTCTTCGAGTGAACAACACGGCCAGCTGTGTGAGCTTGGGACACGTCACAGCTGGCCGGCTGTGGGCTGGTCGTGCTCCCTGCTTTTCAGTTCCGTCTTGCAGCACCCCTGGATGAGCCCACGGCGGCGGCATCACGGGTTGCTGTATAGCCCGTCACGGTGATCTTGGTCTTGTCTCGTTCTTTTGTTGTTTTTGGCCGCCCTGTTCGCCCAACACGTGTTATTGGTATGTAGATGTATGTGCTGCTGTACACGGCCGATAGAGAAGAGGGCCACTTGCGAGACCTGACAACCTAGGAAGGGTGTCTGTTTAGGGCAGATGGTATACAGGGAATCGTCTGTTGAAGAATAGTTCCTCCCTCCCTCTGCTCGGAACGACCGCTGCGCTCGGAATGTTTGCTCGAACAAACCCAGGTTCCACCTCAAGGCTATCTCACTTGAGCCCCCCGCCCCCCCCCCCCCCCACGCCCCGATCACCTTTCTCGTGTAAAGTCCGCCTTTCTCACTCACTCTCTCCTCTGATTGCCAATGAAAAAGGCCGTATTCCGTTTCCATATTTCTGCACCATCATCGTGCTTCCATAAACTGAACGTGACAAAATAAAACACAGTCTTCGCATGGGCAATAACCGCTTCGGGCAGCCGGGGGGCTGGCAGCTTTCCTTTTTCCGTGACTGCCTCGCCCCATACAGCGGCTTCGCCCGCGGGGGGGGCGGGGGCGGCGGCTACGCCAACAACGCCCTCGGCCCAGCATCGTCGGCCCCCGATTTTTCCACCGCGTCTCCGGCGGGAGTTCCAAGGTATGCGAAGAGGCTTTCGGCTGAAGGGGTGTTATGATATTCTGCATCTAAATGTTTTCGGGCGCGTCCTAAGTTGCCCTTCTTCATCCGCGCGATTGGCTGTGATGATAATTTACCACCCACCCGCTGACCCCGCCCCCGCCCCCGGACTACTCCCCCGCAAATGTATGCTACTCGCCTTAGCCTCAGGCTCGTGCGGGTTCTAGTGGATGACTTGGTCGGTCGCGTAGCCCCTGTTGCTTGTATTTCTCATTGGACATTGCACGTTGTATCGAAATCACATAGCAGTATATCACGTGATAACGTAAGGGATGCTGGTTGGTTTGCCAAGAGTACTAGCTGAAAGTTATTCCCATGGTGTTTTTTTACAGCACTGAGCCCTCTTAAGCGCAGAGGTGTGTCCAGAGATTTTACTGCACTATACTGGGCACCTCAGGATCAAGGAATATGTGAATTTTGGTATACCAGCTTAAATCTGTGTCAGCAGATTACACCGGCACGTACCGGGCGCCTACACTATTCAACCTGCACTATAGAGGGCCCAGTACTGCCAGTAGTTTTTTTTTTTTCACAAGACAAGTCAAGCCACCACCCCGCACCGCCGGTGGTCACAAAATAACCCACCGCCGGCCCTAATGCGCCGCCTGCGACGTGGCAGGGATCTGAGCATGCTGGCTCGGTCCATTCAAGGGGCGCAGCACGGGAGGGGTGTAACCGAGGGCGTAGAGGAGGCCTCGGGCGGCGGGAATTCCACAAGCAAGGGGCAAGGGGCGGTGGCGGGAGGCGGTCTGTCTAGCTCCCACGGTGTGTCGCTGTCCTCTTCGTGGCCTTTCGCCATCGCGAAGGTCACCGCGGCGGCAGGGTACCAGCAGGTGGGGTTGTTGTTGTTGTTGTTGTTGTTGTTGGTGTTGGTGTTGGTGTTGGTGTTGGTGTTGGTGTTGGTGTTGGTGTTGGTGTTGGTGTTGGTGTTGGTGTTGGTGTTGNTTGTTGTTGTTGTCGCTGTTGCTGCCGCTGTTGCTGTTGTAATGTCGTGCCGTTGCTTCTACAGTAATACTTTGGTGTTGCCGAGCGGCGCGGCCGGCCCGCGCGGTCTTCATCGAGTTAATACACAGAAACGCGCACCCAGAGGGCACTTGAAGATACCACAAGAAATGACAGCGCCACAGCCGGTTTACTCGTACTTTCCTCAGGTTCCCTCCCGCCGATTTGGCTGTCCGACTTGTCACCCATAACACCGAACCAACACAAGCATGCCACCCTCCCGCCCTTGTCACCATTGTCGGCTCCGCGACGACCACCCTAAACCCCTTTTGTTTCTCGCTCCCATCACCCAGATATCTCCGCCTACCAACGTCCTCAGAAAGCACAGCTCCCACCACGACGGCACGCTTCCCCCTCCCGCGGGCGGCGCCGCCGACCAAATCGCCGACGGCTCCTCCGGTGGCGGCGCTGCGGAAACCCGTCGGGGTTCGTGGGATGACAGCGGGGCCATGGACCTCTTGACTCTGTCCGGGGGGGTTTCGAGAGACTGGAGACTCCCGGGCGTGCTGCGCCGGCTTGGGGGCAAGGGGCCGTCGGGGGGGGCGGCGGGGGCGGCGGCGGCGGCCGCGGGGTCGGTGTCGTCCTTCTTGGACGTGAAGACGGGATGCCTTCTGGAGGGAGGGGTGGCGCCGCGGCCGTTCTCGCACGAGGTGAGCCGGCCGCCGTTGGGTTGGATGTTGTTGTTGTTGTTGTTGTTGTTGTTGTTGTTGTTGTTGTTGCTGTTGCTGTTGCTGCTGTTGTTGTTGTTGTTTACCTCTAATTCCTTTGTTTTCTTTTGTTGTTGCAATTTGTATGAAAATCCCGCCCCCACAGCGTGCCACTCGGAAGTAAATCCCCCCGCTCTCGGCCCCAAGCGGCAAGTAAACCGTCCTCTTCTCCCTCACAGAACCCGTCGCATGGCTACGATGGGTACCCCGATAATGAGCGGTATAGTTCGATGGATACTAACGCGAGACCTATATCCCGGTACCCTGGTAGATACCACAAGCGATGTACCGCCCTGGATGCATGCGTCGGATCGGCTATCCTGCCTCTGCCTACATCTGACCCCGCCTCTTTGACTTTTTGCCGTCGCCTGCCGCATCCGTCTCCCTTTTCTGGCTTGCCGTTCTGGTCTTGTGTCTCGCGACTTTTGGGGGGCATTTCTCGGGAATAAAAGTCGGCTACCTTGGTGCACCGGGTGCCTTTGGGACCCCACGGAAAAGGAGGGTCCTGGAACGCCACCCTCAACGTTAGGCACCAGGTAATTGATGCTGCGTGCTGTCTGCCGCATGATTGTCCCTGTCTTTTCTGTCGCCAATCTACCCGCGGTTCGGTGTGTATGCATACCACACGCTTGTTGGCGTATCATCAACCGGGGTCGCACACAGGAAGAAGCGCAGACACCGTTTTTTTTTCAGTGCGTCGCATAGCTACGCATTGGATGGAACGCCGTCCGTGTGTTGTTCGATGTCCTGGTGCTTCATGTAGCGGTCCGTGGCTCCCTCCGAGTCGCTAGGATGGATGGGTATGGCAGCATGAGCCGGCTCGCTGCTAGAGTAATGGCAAGTCATGTAGGTCAGCGCCGTCTCGAGCCGTCGAGTCCATGCCGAGGAGCATTGGGATGAAGGACAGACTTTACGCTACGTGGCAGACCTCCGCCAAGGAAAAAACCCGACATATTCTACGTAGAGATGCTCTGGGCTGAGGCGAAGGGGTCAGTTGCGAGCGTACGAGGTGGTGTTAACATGATGGTTGCACAACGCGCGTTCGCTCGGCGACGTTGTAGCCCCACGCCCGACGCTGACGGGCAGCTATGATAGCCCCCCCCCCAGGCGACGGTGCTTCGCGCTTGGTGATGTGACAGCCTTGTCCGGTGAGAACCCGGCGTGCTCCGTCCCGGCTTTGTAGGGATGCGAGGTCAATGGTCTAACGACTACGGCATGCACGACTATGAGTA